CCCGAGTCCCCGACAAGCATGGCGATGTCTAGTCTTGTCATCTTCAATTCTCACCCTTTTTTAAGGCATTAACTACAACAACATTTACCCTTTTATGCATAAATTTACTTTTTACCATACCCACCTGATCTGCTTCAGGAAATTATGTGCGCGTGCGTGCGTGTAAGTTTTAACCTAGGGTGATTTAGTTGAGTAATGTGTATCTGATATTTAATTTATTATGTTGTCTTAATTAATGATTTCCATATACAAAAAAAAAAATTATGAAATTTCAGTGGCAATTATTTCAACAGAGTTATAATGCTAACTTAAAATTGATATTTCGATGTTCTAATTTCAATTGGAAAATTTAAACGGTAATTCTACTGTTTTGGTGAAATTTGTATTGAATTTTGACGATTTTAAGACAATTCTTTCAACGACTGAAATAATTGATGGTGGAAAAAAAAAAATAACGAAATTTGCATGTTTCAAAGAAAATTTCTCTCGTGGAAAAATTTGGTGTTCGAAAATAAGACAATTATTTCAACGAATGAATTTTTGACGATATTTTATAATATATTCCATGGTTTCCATAAGCTAATAATTGTATTGTATATTTATTGATTGTGTAATGTAAAGCATATATTGAATAATGTTTATCTTTGATAGGATCAGCTAATATTAACTTGCATACATATTGTTTCTCAGACAATATACTTCACAGGAAATAATAAGATTGCCCAATACTTCAAGATTGAGCTGAGTGAGCCAGATGGGCCTTTTTTATTAGACCCACTGCTTGGTCCAATGTAAAGGCCCTTTAAGATTAGCTTGCTAATAATAATAGACTTACTGTGAGTACCCCTTCAGATTTGCAATTTCATAACAAATACTATATGATTATAGTCTGGACAGATGGGGATTTCTTATAATTAGACAAAAGTATAAGGACATTTCATGTATTAATCTAAACCTTGAAGAGCATTAAAAACCAATTTATACTAACTTGATTAGTTGACTACACCATATCAATGCTACAGAAAAACTACACACCTGCTAGTTCAAAACCAAGCTGGTGCTTTCAGCTTCTTGAATATCTAAACATTTACAAATTGGTCACACACATTCTTTCTAGAAATAAAAGGGATTTTGATAGCGATTTTTCGAGATTCTCTTTTCTAGAAAAATCTAATTTCGATAGCAATTTTTCGATGTAAGAACTGTCGGGCCAAGGAATATATTCGTTATACGTTAAAAGACATACATTCTGTTCCAGGGATGGAAAAGACCTGTAAGTGAGGCTAACTCCATTTGTAAATACCCCTGCAAGCAAAACAAATCGAGAATCCTTAAAAGGGAAGCTATGAA